GTAGCTGATACTATAGATACAAAGTCAAGACCAAATCTTAATTCAATCCTGTTAGCCTAGTCTGGCCTTTTTCCTTTCAGTGACATTAGTAAGTATCTGTATCCCTGAAGCAAGATGTCTTTTCTCCTCTGTAGTACACATCTCATGAAGGCTAATTTGTTGTCAGTATTTTAACATTTCTTGGAACTAGTTAGCTTCAGGAAGGAGAAAAGCTTGATGACTGTAGGCCCTTACCAAGCAGGAATGCAAGAACAAAGCGAACCTCTTCTACTTCTTTAAGTTGACTGCTATTTCTGGTGCTTGTCCAGACCAAATTTACAAGTCACAGTTGTGTTCCTTGACAACATAAAATCATTAACTCTTGGTGTTGTTACCCAATGGATAATTATCTCTTGATGCCCACTTTCATTCCTTGTGGATTTCATAATAGTTTCTACAGTTTCCCCAAATTTCAGCAGCTCCTAGCATATACAGAAGGTGTACTTGTGATGAACAGACAAATGAGAAGCTTTAATCTGTCTCTGTCTGTGTTGAAATTTGGTCAAACAAGCAAAGGACTCCCTTTCTCCTTTTAAGTAAACCACTTTTGTCTCCCACCTCCACCCCCTACTCTTTGGAAGTCTAGAAAAAAATTGTCAGTACTTGCTGTGGCTTCTGAACTTGATCTCTCTAGCTTCTCTGCTTGACATTCATTAGCATCTCATTTAATGCTTAAAACAACTCATTGAGCTGTCTGCAGTTATCCTAATGCCACACACTTAAGTGACAAAGCTGGGTTACTAAACTGTGCTGATGGACTTCAGATTCTATTTATGCTATGTTATTACTATGATTACTATAATATGCTAAAAGCCTTTTCTGATTCATGTTCCTGGACATTTTCTTTTCACATGGGGCAAAATGCTACAAGTGTTAGTTTGCTCTGGGGAGCTGTGCTAGTTCTACCATTTTATGAAGACTTTATTTCAAATCTCCCTTTAGCTCTGATATCATGTCCTTATGTAAACAGATTAAAGATGTCACCCCCTTGAATAGAGAATTACAGGAGGGCTCCAAGAAAGAGCACTGGGTGGAAAATGAATCACAAATTGGAGGCAGATAGAAGATAGACTTAAAAGAGGGGCAACATGGATGGGAAGGTGCATGAGAGGAGAGATCAGATACAAGGGATATAGTTTTGAGGAATTAGACTACAAAAATAAGCAGATTTAGAAAAACTGGCCAGATGTAAGAATTACATTATATGAAGGATTTTTAGTTGAGCAGAATTGCAATCTAAATAAAATAGGAAAAGGAATTTTATCATTATAAGACATTTAGAGATATCAGAGGATGCTGCTATTTGGAATTTATGTAACTTAACAGACATCTTTTGGATTGCCCTTCACTCAAACTCAAGTACTAGAAATTAAGAAGTATCTTAGTAGAACTGACTTTAAAAGAAGGATAGAAAAAAGGAGAAACAAATGGAATGGTAGCTGTAGTAGTCAAGTTTACCAACCTGAGGAAGTTAGAACTAGATATTTTACTGTATTCTCAAACCCAAACCACCAAAACAGGTCCTCAGGGTTATTAAATTGTCAGAGAGTCCTGTGTACGTGAGAAAGCTTGTTATTTGATTCTTTTAGCTAAACTTAATATTTACAAGGTGGCAATAATCTCCCTTCATACACTCATAAGAAATTTCAGATATGAAAATAATTGAGCATAATTGGCTATAGGGGAAATCAAATTTGGTCCTGGAAACAGATAGAAAAATTAGATAGTGCTTATTAATCAGATATGGTTCAGTGGACATTTATTAAATAAATCTTGACTGTGTGGTAAACTGGACAGGGACTACATCAGCCTGGCAGTTTTGTTGTAGAAAAATTAGATAGTGCTTATTAATCAGATATGGTTCAGTGGACATTTGTTAAATAAATCTTGACTGTGTGGTAAACTGGACAGGGACTACATCAGCCTGGCAGTTTTGTTACCTGTATACTCTATGAAATTCTTCAAAAATCTATTCATTTGTTTTCCCTAAAACTATCTGTAGCTCTCATCTACATACTTGAACATAATTTTTGAAAGATGTCACATTCCATGGAATGAACTTAGACAATACCAACCCTGAACTCCTCTATTTAAGCAATAGTCTTACAAGGTTGAAAGCATGAAAATAGACCAAAAGACATTTTTTCTCAAGGTCTTGGAAAGTGGCCCTATGAATGTTTACAGTCCTTGCATTCACTGACGTGTTATTTTGCTCATGTCCATTCTTAGCCACTTCGTCCTGCCCCTCTGTTCTGAGTTAGATTGTATTCTTCTACCCTGGCTAAGGGATCCACTATCAATGAGACATTTTCTTTTCTATTGCTGTTTCTAAATATGATAACTTTAGCAAACACAAATCATTTATTGTGAGGTATTAACATTCATTTAACTAACTGCTTTAACTAAGGGCCACCATTCATTTCTCCAGTGCGTTGAATAGCTAAACTTTTGACCTTAATTGATAAATAAATGGGGTGGGAGGAGGTGAAAAATTAAATTTCTATGAGGCTTACTTCAGAATGAATCCCAGCAAATTCCCAGATATAATTTGATATGGAGACCGCATTAATTATTCTGGTTACAAAGAAAAAATGGAGGGGACACTGGCATGGTCTCCCCCAGTAACTGAGGTACCACTAGAAACAATCACCCCCTTGCCTTTATCAGGATTCTCCCCAGAACTGTTATCCATTTCCAAATGGTGAAAAAGAAATAGGAATTTCTGTGTAGACATATTTCAAGGATTTTTCATTTATAGAAAAAATGAACAATACAGAACACTATTCACTTAGTGGATTTTAATCGGAAAGCATTATTTGAATATG